ATTTAAAAAAAAAGTTGTTTTTGTAACCAGTGAGAAGTTACAGATCATAAAAAAATTGTGAAACTTTTCTGAAAAAATATTGAAACTTTTCCAAAAATAAAGTTATATATATATATATAATAGGTCAAATATTACCACATTTCCAAATAAAAGTGATTTTTTCCTGAACTATAAATATCCTGTAAAAAATATATAACCCAGAAAAATCTATTGAAAAATTGTCAGAGTTTTCTGTATTCTATGCGTAGTGAAAAAAATAAATATTATTTTTGTAGATTTATAAGCTGTTAAAATTCGCCAATCGTGATATTTTAAACTTTAAAAATTCATCTTTTAAAACATAACCTTTATAAAAAAAATTAAGTCCTTTTTTATTTGTATTAAAGTAAAGAATATGAAACCCCTTCCCCATTTTACTTCTCCCCACGCCTCTAGGATAGGAAATGGATAAAAATTTTGAAAGGCTATACAGGGCTTAATTTTTATTCGATTTGAATGATATTTGGGTACTAGGTACTAGACCCAAGGACTAAAAATGTTCATGCCATTGTCACTTTTCCTAAACGAAAGTAAGTTTTCTTCAGCAAAATATGTTAGTGAATGTAATAGTTCAAATATTGCTACTTTTGTTTTTCAGGCATTTTTAATATTTAATCATAATGTTTTAATTTATTATTTTAATAGTAATATCTTTAGTGGCCTAGTCAAAAGTAATAGTCTACGAAATGTTGTGGAAAAATTGTAAGACGGACTTTTTTTACCAAGTATAGCAATTTCAAAAAATAAGTTACTTACTTAACTATAATGGCTCAGTGAGCAGTTTATAGTTCATGAAAATTTGTTTAAAAATTGGAAAACTAACTTTCCTGAACTACATAAAAAACAAAATGGTGAAAGTTAGCTCAGGAAAATATGTAATTGGTCAAATATTTCCACTTTTCCAAATAAAAGTGATTTTGCCTGAACTATAAAGGCACCATTTGGGAAGGCGAGATCGAGTAAAGCGACAGCGAAGGAGACTGAAAACGGTCACTTCACTTACTTGGTCTCGCCTTCCCAAATGTTACCTTAAATGTCCTGTAAAAAGGTATAGACCAGGAAAATTTATTGAAAAAATGTCCAACAAGTTTTCTGTATTCTATGTGTAATAAAAAAAAAAAAAAATGAAATATATTAAATTAAAAATACACGCCCTTGAAGTGGAATGAATTTTGAAATCCTCCAATCCGAGCGTCCCCGCGATTTTTACTTTTGAATTTTACAATTTTATAGGAGTGGTTGTAAAGAGGACTAAAAAGTAAGATCCATTAAAATTCATAATCGTGATTCTTTTAAACTTACAAAATTCATATCTTTTAAAATATATTTATATTAAAAACATTTATAAGAACTTTTTTATTTGTATTAGAGTAAAGAATATGAAAAAAAAAAAAATACATGTTTAAAAATAAATTTTTAGGAATTGTTTAAACAATTTCCGTTTAAACAGAATGGGACCATATAGTCCCATGGCAAACTGAATTTATATACTTATATAAAGGATTCTGACAAAAAATGCATCACTAAATTCCAGTAATATACCCGAACTTCAAGTTTATACATATGGATCACAAGAGAACAAAAAAAAAGAAAACAACGAAGTTTGGAGTAAAAATATATCAGTAACAGTAACCCTATCATTGAAAGTGAAAGAATTGAATAATAAATATATTGATAGAACTGAGGATGAAAAATAAACACAAACATGTAGAGAGGATGTAGTAAATGTACTCTATGAAACGAAGTTATTAGGACAAAAATAAATCTAGCCCTCAGATTAAAAAAAAATAAGTTAAAATGAATTTAATAGGTATCAAGGCGGTTAATAATGGAATCTATTGGAATATATAATTTTTTAAGGTATCGAAACATCATATAAATGATTAGTTTTCAGTTTACAGAGCTCAAATTTGTTTATTTTTTATTTTTTTTAAATAATATTAAGGACGTTTTAGAGACTCCTTCAAGCAACAAAAATCTCAAAAGAGACGTTTCTTTCATAGTTAAAGAAACTTTAAAATACATTAAAGACACTTACCGAATTATCTGACATAATTAGATACTTTTTAATATTCAAAACAAAACGCTTATTTGAAAACAGATAACATCAATGAAATTTAAGTACCCAGGCTAATTATACTGCATCATTCATTTTTTTTATTAAATACATATATCAATCGAGAAAGTTTAAAAGATTTTGGTTTACAATTTCTTAATGATTTGCATTAAAATTACATTCATCAAATATAGGTACGTTTCATAACGAGGTTCTACCAACCATTTAAGGACAGGTTTTTTGATAAAATTGTGCAATTTGGGTCATATCTCTGTCGAGATATTTAGGTATCAAAATGGCCAAAAAAATTCTAGAAAACGGTTGTAAGTTTGGTATATCCTTTAGTCGAATCCTATTTTGTTATGGAGTCTCTTCTTTCAGTTCATATTTCTAAAGGGTAGAAATTAGTAACATCTTTTTATATTTCTTTCAGAACTTTTTACGTTAAAAGACAATTATAATAAAAAGATTTTTTAAAAAGTACTACACATAATTTAAAAACTTTTTTCACACTTTTAATTTTTATGTATTTTCCACAGTTTACATACAAAAAAAAGGTAAAAATAATTTATTTTGACGTTTAAAAAAAATCAAATTGCAAATTTTTATAAGAAATCCCCTCTTAAATGGTCTTGTTAAAATATTGTGATATTAGGAACACCCTGTAGACCTATATTATTTAAAATATACAATAATTGAGAATTACAGGAGAAATCAAAATATTTTCGAAAAAAACTAATTAAAAACCTTTTAATTTCAGTCACATGTCAAAACAAAATAATTTAAAGCTATACAGGATGTTGTAAAAAAAATAAACACACTTGTAACTCATCAAAAGCGATTTTTCGAAAAAAAAACGTCAACTTTAATTTTTGTAAGTAATAAAAGTGCGAAATTTTCGCATGTATGCTCATTCTAGAACGAGAAAGACAAGTTCTACAATTGCATAAGTGTGAAAAATTTGTTCCTTTAGTGCTAGTTACTATTTTTTTGTTCCTCATTTAAATATTAATAGCTAAAATAAAAAAATAGATTTAGCTTTAATATTTTCGAAATTTATAGAAACTGATTTGGATACTTTGGACACTTTTGACAAAGATGTAGAAAAAGTATATTTTTCTTCTCTAACATAGCATCAGATTTATTACATTCGGTTACAGAAAATTTGCTATTACACATTGACAATAGCAGACGCAATTTTAATCACTTATTTGTAACGTCATTTAGAAAGAATAAAGTGAACTTACTGAAAAAAAAAATGTCGTTTTTTTTAATTAGTTAAAAAAATTGAAGCAAAATTGTTGCTTTTGAAGAGTTACTTATGTGACAAAAATGTTTGGCACTTATTTATGGGGACATCCATTATTGAACAATGAAAATAAACAAGTAAGTTTATCAAAATGAACCAAAAATGTTCATTTTGTAAGCTTAGATTTATCTGAAATCATAGAGCAATCATAAATCAGAGTAAACTATCCCAATCAAGGGGAATATGTACGCGCATTTTGTTTGCACACCCTTGGTCGCCATTTTTAATGAGGAGTTCTAAGGTGTTACTTACAATTGTTTAATTTGTTTAAGTTAAAACATTTTATAGTTTGTGAGAAGAGTATCTTAAAATGTATGATTGATATATCCATCTTTTCATTATCGATATCAATATTGAGCTGTCATATTTTGGGCTCTTGGTATTTCCTTATAATATGGCGCAGTCAGTCGGATGGAAAAAATGTTTGGAGGCTTCTGTTAAGACACCATTTAATTACTAACACAATGACTATCTTGGATGTATATCAAAATATAAACTCTATGGAATATCTATTGTATTATCAGTTAATAAAGCATTAGGATTAGAAATAGAAATCAAAGAAAAACTTTGATTATTTGAAGATCAAATGAAATACAAGCAGATAATAACAATAAAAAAATTATATTGAGACCTTCAAATTTAAAAATTGGTAATTGAATTGTAATTCAAAACCAGAAATAATAAAAAACAAGAATTATACAGATTTAATTAAATATTTTTAAAAATGTAATTATATGTTTGTCACACATTACTATAGAATTGCCATTTAAATTTAATTGAGATTGATGGTTCAATTGATTTTAAATAGTGTAATAAGTTTAGATTAGTGAGTTAATTAGACGGTTAATTTTAGATTAAGATTATTCAAATTTGATTGATAAGTTTAGGCTAAAAAGTATCATCTAATTAATTAACTAATCTAAACTGTATTAATCAAACTTAATTAAAACCCGGTGTATTATTTTGAACACAGGGACCTCCAAAATATGACTATTAATTAAAATCTCCAACTCGACATTATGTACCATATTAATAGGAACTATCCAAGCAATAATATTTTTTTTTACTCATAATTATATTTATCCCCTAATTATTTTAGTACAAATTTCTCAAAATACTATTAGGAGTTTTCCTCCTCATTCAGAATTACTATTTATCAGTAAATCGGTCTTACCAAGACAAAAGAAGTAGTTGTAAAATGTATTCTCTGACTTATGGCTGCTCTGTGATAGGACTCGATTATTTTCAAAACAATGGATTTTTTCACAACTACGTCACACTTTATAATCAGATAAAGCTTATTTGATGAGGGTGAGCTGAAATCAGTTACGGTCTAGACAAACTAAACTGCTTAACTTGTTTAAAAAAATGTTTAAGGTCTAAAAATAATTTGTAAACAACAGGAAAAGTACAAAAAAAGACATTTGGGAAGAAAAAGTGAATGTGCCATATATGGAACAATATGTGACTCAGAATGTGTGATACTAGTCATTGTTAAGTTCATAAAAACAATTTTTTTATTTCATCTTGGTGTATTCGCGTCCAATGACACAAGCCATACATATTTAGTGAAACTGTTGTGGGACATCACAGAACTTATATAGTAACTGCTTAAATTCGACCTTGGTATTGTTATTAAACACAGAATGATAAGTTAGTGACAATCTATAGGCAAAAGTAGTTTAACTTAATAATGCGCAAATATGAATATGGTACACATGATATGTATCATATATGTAACAGTATGTAGTAAGGAGTTAGTTTGGTTTATAAATAGAATGACGAAATATATTTTTCTGAAAATAATCGAGCCCTAATTATTAAAGTCGCCCAAAAATTTATAATATGCTTCAAAAAAGAACCTGTAAATCTAAATCACGTAATACCGACATAATCACTTGCATTATTATATATCAAACCAAATTTCTTTTATACTTTCCATCAGCAGTCCATATAAATAACTACAAAATATAAAAATCGGAAAATTTTATAATATATAATATATATCTATATAATATATATAGAGGTGATTTTGGCAAATGACATTTATGTTACATAGTAAAAAAAGACTTGCAGCACTTGGGTCCTGTTTTTTGAGATCAAACGTGCTGCGGAAAAATTACACAAGAAAACAACCACCGAAAACGACGACAGTTCAAAGAAGATCACAGGTGGTTTTCTTTCATTTTGATTAACTAGAGGCTACGTAACGCTAATGATCGACCGAGTTTCTTTGTTACCGTTTGTATCCGAATTGTCATTTCTGACACACTGTCCAGTCAACTGGTTGACACTCAACGGATTATTTATGTCGTGCGGATTCGTCCCGACGGGATTTCGCGTGGGCTGGTGGTGGTGAGACGGCGGGGGCAGTGGAACTTTGACGTCGAAGCTCTCGTGCGGCGTCAAAGGGCTTTGCAGCATATACGGACTGGCAACGCTCACAGAAGGACTGGCTACGCTCGTGGAAGGACTCGGTAGCACCATCCCGCCCGGGCTGGTCAGGCTGCTCAGGCCCGACAACCCGCCCGGGCTTGACATCGATTGATTCAGACTCTCGTTGTCATCGTCAGGTGGCGTGTGGGCGTCGCCCATGCTTCCGCAGCTACCTAGATTGTCATCTGATTGGTTACCATCGTTTCCATCTCCTGCCTCCATATATCGTATACACTTTTTCTTTCGCCTGTAAAAGTTTGGTTAAGATTAAAATTCGGTTATGGTTTGGGTTGTAAGCTGAGGGCATGCTTGGTTGAAGATGTTTGCCATGCAGGGGGTTTGTTAGATAATCGGTAGGGTGGTTTGTTTTGATTAAATCATGCTGGAAATGTAGAAAGAAAAAAAAATACGGATGAAAGTAAAAAACGGCCTAAAATAAGGAAATAACGACTAATCATTGTTAATATATCTTGCTCTTTTTAATAAATGTAGTTTCAATTATTCGTTTTTTCACTAGGAGGAGTGAATTGAAAATTCACATTTGCTTAAGGAAAAGTTACTAGATCAGTGTTGACAATGGTTAAGAACGAAATTATGCGCACTTAGGACCATAATTATGGGATTTTGATCCACATTATGCATGCGGTTGCTAACAGTCGGAGATGAGTTTTGTTTTGGGGGCCATGTACAAAAATGTTTTTTTTACGATTTCAAAATATAGAAATAAACAGAATATTAAATTTAAGCACTAAATGGAACTCCTAGGCATTCATTGTTTAAAATTATGCCAACGTAATAAGTTTATTTGTGTCATTTTAAATTATTTTGGCGAAGTTCTTTGGAATTGGTACTAATCATCAAACTATAATAATATTAATTTGGTCAACATTTGCCCTTCATATCTTTTTCAAGTTAACAAGAAAAATTTTTACCAGGTTAAGGTAAAAAAAAAGGATTAAAGAATTCGCGCAGATTTATTTTTCAAGCTGTGGTTGGTCAATTTGAAAAATGTCACTTTAAATAAGATAATTACTACTTGAGAAAAATACTTTTTATTTATAGTGCGAAATTTATTAGCTGGCGTGTTATATTAAGCGCAAATCGTTTAATTATAGGCCAATCGGCAACACTGTACTAGATATCGTTTTAGCGGTAAATTTAAATCTGATTTTTGCATCATTTAAAGGAAAACATTTTAAAACTTTGTTATGAATGCATTAAAGTCAAAGTTTTATATAACCAAAGAATGAAGATGACAATACTAAATTGTGCCTGTTGACTTTTTTTATTAATAATTGAATGCTATGCTGGAACAACGTTGTAACCGCCAATATGAGCACATTTTAGTTTTTCGTAGAACAACCTTATATGTGGTCGAAATAATCAACTGACAAAGTGGTAGGAGTATACGGGGCTTCTATTCGTATTTTAGAATAGTAATAAAATTATTTCACTTACATACTCCAGTGTAACAACGTTGTAAGTGCCTGTCTTATTAGATATGTGTGAATATATTCCATTAAAATACGTAAATTTTTATGAAAATCTTAATAGTATAATAATTTTAACTTTTAATTACCTACTCAACCCAATGATGTTTTAAATTTAAGTTAATAAACACGTTTTTTACTGTCATTTGTGCTCTATTTTTAAACATTTTTAAACAACGTTCTATCCGCCCTATTTCCACAAAACAACGTTGTAACCGACGTGGATATTAAAATATAGCAACTAAGTTCATAAAACCCCGTCCTTTATACATCTAAGGCAGTAATACCTAAAGAAACATTATGCAACCCAAAGTCAATCATATTAGGTTTATAAACAATTTACATGTCTATGCAATTAATAATAAAACGTTCATTTTTATTTTCCAAAAAAGCAGTATTTGGCGCTTACAACGCTGTTCCAGCATAGCATTCAATTGTAGATTCTTTTAGTTTTTCGCTACTTTGTAACGTTAACTTTTAACGTTAAACTTTGTGTTTGCTAAAAACAGCTATACAACCAACATTACTTTCGTGCAATGTTAGTTGCATATCTTTAATCAATTCATTGGCATATTTGGAAAAATGGAAAATCATATAATTTATTCTCAGCCATTTATTATAGGATGTTTATCTTGCTTGTTAAAGTCATTTAGTTTTCAAGAAAGTGGGTTATTTTGTCGTGTATTCTTTTAATTATTTTGTGAAACTTTCAATAATAATAATATATACACACAACCAAACTTATATGGAATCACTCTATATTTCTGAATAAACTTTTTGTAAGGAAAAACTTTGGTATCCAACTTTAAGAAAAAGCTTTTTATTCGAAACAAACATGATAATAAAGAAGAAACGACTGCTGCGATTTATTATCTTGTGAATTTTGTGTTTAGTAGTAAAATCACGATTATAACAAAAAAAATGCCTTATGTTGGACTAACAGATGTGCAGAGGGGAAGAATTATTGCTGTTATTGAACAAGGAATGCCCCAAAAAGACGTATCAGAGGTAGTAGCCGTTACCCAGGGTGTTGTATCGAAAACATATGCAAGGTACTTGGAACTAGAAACTCTCAAGAACAGGCCCAGACAAAGTCGTCAAAAGTCACAACTGAACAACAGGGCCGCTTTGTGTGCCAAATTGCTAGAAGATATCCCAGCTTTTCTCATCCAGACCTGCAACAACTTCTGGAAGTTACAGGTGTGAATGTTTCAGTTGAAACCATAAGAAAAAAACTTCGCACTCGAGAGTTGTAGAGTAGGAGAAAGTTACGAGTTCCAGAGTTATCTTGGCAAAATAAAATTGACTGGCTAAATTGGTGCTTTCGACACCAAAACTGGACAATTGAGAATTTTTTCGGGTGAGACCAGAAATGGCCTAAAATCAGATGATCATCGAATTTGTGTTCTCAGAGCTCTAGAAAGACGAGCAAGACTCCATGCTGCCAGATCTGTCTCAAGATATCAAGGAGGAACTGTAAGGTTCTGGGGAGGAATTATGTTGGGAGCAAAAACTCCATTGTTATCGCTTCAACAAACTTTAACCGGTCGGAGGTATGTTGCTTTAATGCTAGAACCAATCGTTAGGCTTTGGAGAGCTGCAATTGGGGATAATTTTGTCTTCATGCACGATAATGCACCTCCACATACCAGCAGAGTGGCTAGAGAATGTCTTGAAACGGAAGGTTTCGCAGTTTTAGACTGGCCTGGTCCACTAAAGCCAAATCTTATCGAAAACTTGTGGGACCAGCTCAAAAGAAGGGTTAAAGCTTGTCGAAATAATGCAGAAAATGTCGCACAGCTTATTGATGCAGAATAGGAAGACAATGTTGACCATTTAACAAAAAATATGCCAAGGCGAATAGAAGCTTGCATAAAGGTTAGAGGTAGCAACACGGATTATTAAAATTACTAAGTTTCTTTTTGTTTTTGCTTTTTAGCCATTAAAAATGTAAATCTCATTTCGTTTCAGAAACAAACAAAAATATCGATGTGGTTATTTTGTCAAGTAATTAATTTAATTTTCTTATTGCTATGTGGGTTATTTTTCATTGGTAAGGACAGAGTTTTATTCATAAACAAAAAATGTTTATAAATCTCAAAAATTATGAAAAATAATAGATAATTCCGTATAAGTTTGGTTGTGTGTATATATTGATTTTAAAACCAAATAGGTTTATTTGCTTTCTTTTCGCAACTGGTGGCATACTGAATTTTTGGTAACCAGTTACATAATGTTCAACTTTATGTAAGTTGATGAAAAATCGATTAAATTTAAAGGTGACGAAAAAAAACGTTGATGAAAAAACGGATGTCATCTCGAATTGAAATGTTCAAAGGAGGACCATTGGACACATTTCAGTGAAGAACAAATTTCATATCAATATTTGAAAAGTTGAAGACAAAAATGTAAATGAAAAATAGTTGATGAAAAAACGCATAAATTCAAGGTGACGAAAAAAATATTGATGAAAAAAAAGAAAAAGGATAAATTCATCTCGAAAATTGAAATGTTCAAAAGTAGACCATTGGACACAGTTCGGTAAGGAATAAATTTCATATTGAAATTATGAAATGTCAAAAAAATGTTAATGAAAAAACAAATAAATTTCAAGGTGACAAAAAAATGTTGATAAAAAACCACATAAATTCGTCTAGAAAATTTAAATGTTCAAAGAAGGTACCATCGTTCCTCTTAGCTTAAAATTAAATAAATATTGGTGATATATCTTGCTCATTTTAACAAATATGGTTTGTAATTATAAATACATTTTTCTCGCCAAGATAATATAGTATGGAAAAAGACATCAGGTAACTACAAAACGAAAATAAATTTTGAGACCATTGAAATAATGCTGATCGTATTCGATGTAGAATTATGTCCACATTTATTGTTCCTTTTTTTAGTAATTTTCTCCAATTAGTTTCTTTTTTAACAAGAATGTGGAAATTGAAAGATTTGTCGCCTCCGCCTAATATGTGAAAAATTATTCGTAGAAAATGTACCTAGAGATCCTGATCATAGATATGCAGTATCATTGCCATTTAAAGATAATCCTAAGTCATTAGGTGTTTCATTCGCATTAGCAAAAAAATCGATTATTATCTCTAGAAAATCATCTGGATAAAAATCCAAATCTTAGAAAAATTTATAATGATATTTTTCAAGATTATATAGATCAGGGACAAATGAATTTAATTCCGATTGAGTTTATAGATGCACCGTCATACTATATTCTCCACCATCGTGTATGTAAACTCGATAGTTCTAGTACCCCTTGAAGACAAATTCAGGTCCTTCGTTAAATGACATTTTGTATAAAGGTCCAAAATTACAAAATATTCTGATAACCATATTGTTGGATTTTCGTCTTTTCCCAATTGTCGTACTAGCCGACTTAAAACAAATGTATATACAGGTTAAGATGATATAACCTCAGGTCATTTTCAAAGTGTTCTCTGGATATTCAACTCCAATACGGAAATAAGTAGTAGAAAGACAATTCTAAAATATCTGGATAACCTTTAAATTGTAGGTTTATAAAAGTGATAGGATATGGAATGATGAAAAAGAACGAGATTCTAGTATATTATGTCACAAGGGAAGAAAATTGGCATTCGCCGCCTGTGATATTAACTACCCAAGCGAAATGAGTTCATGCAGCTGATATAGATACTGTTTTTCGCCTATCATAAGGAGAATCCCAACAGAATTGTTACAAAGAATAACAAAAATATATACCACTGTGGCAAAGGAA